TTAGGGTTTGGGGGTTTTTTGGGGGTTTAGGGTTGAGGGTATAGGGGGTTTAGGGTTTGGGGGGTTTAGGGTTTGGAGGTTTTTTGGGGGTTTAGGGTTGAGGGTATAGGGGGTTTGGGGTTGGGGGGGTTTAGGGTTGAGGGTATAGGGGGTTGAGGGTTTGGGGGTTTAGGGTATGGGGGTTTGGGGTTTGGAGCGTTGCGGGCTGAGGGTATGGGGGGTTGAGGGTACGGGGGTTCGGGGTTGAGGGTTTAGGGGGTTTCGGGTTTACGGATAGGGGGTTTGGTTGTGTCACATGGGGTGTGGGGCCTAAGAAGGTTTTTGAGAAGTCTGGGGCTTTCTGGGCTGAGAGCACTGCGTCTTTGAGGTTTAGGGGTTTCTAGGGCTTCTATAAGGCTCCTACGAGGTATATAGACCTTCTATGAGGCTCCTATAACCGTAACCACCCACCTGAGAATGTCCTTGTTTCAAAGTTACAACGCCTCTTCAAGGGTAGAAAGGCCGCTGGGGCTAAGGAGAACAGGTGGTGTTTGGGGTTTCGATATCGAATCGTCGCGGTCTAGTCTGGTGACTGTGTTCTTCCGGGTTAAGGGGTTCGTGGCATCTTGAACGACCACAAAGCATGTTCCGGCAGTGGCTCCACTGTGCCGTGCTAGCAAACTAGCATGAGATTCGATGCAAGCCTCAACCTCCCCCCAGTTCCGGTTCATAAAGAATTCTGTCCGTTTAACTATTAGAGCTTAGCATTTCGGGTGCAGCCCCGGGTTAGAAAAACCCTAGACCCTAAGCCCCTAAAGCAAGCTTTCTTGGAGCTCTCAGTTTACAGCTTCGGGAGTCTAGCACTTCGCTTGAAGTACGGTTTAGGAAAGCTTAGGGTTTAGGGCCTACCTGTAGGGCTTAGGGGGATCTCGGGTTTAGGGTATGGGGTCCTAGGCTAATCCTGCGAGATCCTCGGGTACAAAAGTGCTGAACTTCATGGCTGAGATGCGTAAAGGTCTTAGGATTTGCGATGTGGACCCTAAAGGTTTTGCTTTACTTAGGTTTTTCAATTGTTCCAGTCTGTTCCTCGCATTCTGGGGTTCAAAAAACGCCAGATGCACAAGCTCGCAAAACTCAACGCAACACCCGATTATACCAACCCTAAACCCTAAACCCTAAACCCTAAACCGTTACACACAGCTTCAGGCTCCGCCGCGTCGCCTGTAGGCGCTGCTCCAAGTCAGGATCCAAGCCCAGGGGCAGCAACACCCGAAGCCTCGGGGAGCAAGTGTGTTCGGAGGGTGGTGAGATGTTGGACCGTGTTGGATGTATTTACAGTGGTCCTGTACCTCGTATGGACACCAATTACCATCACAATGGACACATGTGGGATGAGCTTAGATCCTATGCAAAGTGCAGCGCCGACACATTTTCTCGAGACTGCCATTCCGGCTTGGCATTGTATCTGCTTTATGTTCGAAGTGTGATGAAGCAGTTGCATTCATCACGAACCCTAAACCCTAAACCAACTTCTGCCGGCTCCACTTTTGGAGTGCTCCTTCGTGCGCAGGTTTCTTCCAGGGGCTTCGCGGGGCCGGCCCCGGCACACACGCCGCCGCGCTTGCTGGGTACAGTATGAGCCCTGGGTTTCCCGGATCGTCTTCCATCAGCGCGCTGAAACCAACGGCAAGATCGGAGTTCGTGCCCGTGACGAGCTTCAATTCAGGAGCCTTGCTCGCACAAGATCGAATCCGACCTTAAAAAGAGCAAGGCGTAGGGTTTGAAAGGGTTTAAACCCTAAACCCTAAACCCTAAACCCTAGGATGTTGTTCACGAGAACTCTGAAGCTCTGGGTGGCTTAAGGGGAGGCCAGGCAACTCGAGTCTTGAAAGCAGAACAACGGACGGTCCTGACGGAACCTGCATTTAGCATCGCATAATGGACTTCCACTGACGGACTAATCTAGGGGCGTTACTAATTAGAATAGGGTATTGGGGTTTTGGGGTACATTAGAGTGGAAAAAAATTAACAACTCCTGAGGAATAATGAAGAATATAGTTGGGTTGAAAGAGCTACAGCCCAAAACCAATATACTTACCATGTTCAGAATCCCTAGATCCATAGTTTAGGACCCTACACAAGCCCTGCCGGCAACCCTTAACCCTAAACCCTAAGCCCTCAACCCTAAACCCTGAAACCCTAAACCCTAAACCCTAAAACCCTAAACCCTTAAACCCTAAACTCTAAAACCCTAAAACCCTAAACCCTTAAACCCTAAACTCTAAAACCCTAAAACCCCAAACCCTTAAACCCTAAACTCTAAAACCCTAAACCCCCAAAACTGATGAGCCCCCTGCTGGCCGACTTTATTCTTGCCGACGATCACGTCGAGAGTGGCCACCTGCGGCAAGTCCCAGGGAGCCGAGGAAGTGGGGGCTGTGATTTGGGTTTAGGGTTTAGGGGTTGGGGTTTAGGGTTTTTTTTTTTTGAACTCCTTTTTCCAAAGCCCGAAGGTCTTCGAAAGGCAGATACCGCCAGGACTGAGGGTCACTGTACGTCCCTCAGAAGAAAATACTCACACAGCTCGTCCGTCACCCCTCGTTCACATCATCCGTACTTCCGTTCGGCGGGCCAACTGGACACTCCGACACCCCATCCACTCGGTCCTGAGTCCAGACTCCTGCCTGCTCCAGGTCCACGGAGGCTCGCAGCAAGTCCAGCACCTGTTGCCCAAACCTGCTCACGACCTCATGGTCCCCAATGTCCCCCGAAGACCAGCCACGAAGAAGAGCTCCAAACTCCTCATGAGTAACACTGTCGGCTTCACATTGTGTCGGGAGGCTTGCTCGGAGGGCCCACTGCGTCTGAAGCATGTCCACAACCGTGCCGCCCCACCTTGCTCGGATCTCCTGCAGGGTGAGTTTGCCGGAGACATAGTCCTGGTAGATCCCATCGAAGTCGTCGAGGTGGGTTGGTTGCAAGGAGGGCTCGTGGTCGGGCTTCATCGGGGCTGCGGGGCCCGGGGAGAAGGGCACCGTCTCCACCTCACTGTCCGTTACCCCACCAGTGGTGATCCGTAGGCAAAGGCGAGCCTGCCCTCCCTCCAAAGGGATCTGGACCCTCTGTGCAGGCTCCGAACTGCCCGAACTGAGCTCCACTTCCAGCACCTGTCTCCTGCGCGGCCTCTTTGCAGTGGGGTACATCTCATCGTGCAGGGCCCAATCTTCCCAGGACTGGTATGCCTGGGCTTCCTGTCTGGCAACCTCTTCCATGTGTTCCAGCACCAGCCCTTCCTGGTACTCTTGCTGTGCTGCTTGCTCCGTCTCGTCGGGGGGCGTGGGCCCCGGCTCACTCATGACATCCATGTTGTGTTGCTCCACCGCAGCGTCTATTACTTCAGCCGGGAGGTCACCATGAAGACCTCCATGTCCGAACACGTGTGTCGGCTGCGAGGGTGGCATCTGCTCAGGCGAGCTCGGCGGTGTATGTTCAGGAACAGGGTGCTGAAAAATGATCGGGGCAGGTGGTCCTGCGCGCATTTCCAGTCTTCTCGCTGAGTGCGACGAGGCGCCTTCCGGCAAGAAGGGCAAAAGCCTGGGCCAGAGCCTTTCCACCCATGGTCTGTTGGGAGTCACCTCGGCAACCTCAACCTTGTGGTCCTCGTATGCCATAGTCAGGAGAGCAATGAGGCTTGATGGCCTGCCGAGCACGTGTCCCAGTTGGTATCCTTGTCCACTGTTTGTGCACCTCCAGTCAACCAACCGTAGCAGGAGCAGGGAGTTGGCCCTTCTGGTGTCCCCTGTCATGGCGTCCAGGAAGTCCCATACCTCTTGTAAGAGCTTGGTCCATTCATTGTCCATATAGTCGGTGGTGCCCTGCGGATCAGCCCCTGGGATCCAGAACTGCATGAGGGAGGCCTCCTCCACCTCCACATCCACGACTTCGTCCCTGGCATCCTCCGCAGCCAACTGGACCAGGTTGCCAACCACTTCCACAATGCGGTGTGTCATCCGCATCAGGCCCAGGAGCAATGTGGCCCTGTCCTGAAGGTTGTAGGACAGGTAAGTCTCAGAAATCACATTGCACTGGTATCGCGAAGGGAAGGTGCCCGGTTCGTCTGATGCCTCCTGGGCACCAATCAGTACGAACCATAGGTCCATGGCTTCCAGAGTGGAAAGCGGTGGCCTCTCAGCGGAGGAGCTTGACGGTGCCGCCCGTGCTTTGCTGGCGGGGCGATTTGCGGTTCTCGTCCTTTCCTCGTGGCGGGCTGCACTCGAAGGGTTCGAACACCGCGAGGAGTTGGCCATTGCACCCAGGTCGCGGCTCTCCGTAGTAACCCTTTCCGGGGGAGTGTCTCTGGACCTCCTCGTTCTCCTGCTTCTGCTGCGGCTTTTCAGCCACCTCTTGTTAACCGGGTTCTTTGCCATGAGGAAAAACAGGTCCCCGTCTCCACTGTCTGCGCCAGCCCCCTCTGCACTGCCGCCGTTCGGAGGAATTTGGTCCCCATGCGAGGTCGAGCTTGGATTTGGCCTCCGGTCAGTGTCGAAGTCCCACCGTTGTTGGTCCGCAGTCAGGTTCCCTCCCGCAAAGGCCGGAACGTCGGTGTCGTCCAGCTGGTTCTCCACGTTACACTCCGAGGCCCCCTCATTCTGAGACTCAGATTCTACCAGCGCCAGGTCTGCACTGCTGCACTCCGCATCCCTGACCCCACGTTCCCTGCATTCTCGATCCACACCTTGGTCCCCGTCCGCAACGGCCGAAAGGTTAACATTGACCGGCCGGGTGTTCACCTCAGACTCCGGGGCCTCCATACTCACAGCCTCCTGAGTCTCGAAGTCCCATCGTTGTTGGTCCGCAGTCGGGTCCCCTTCCACAAGGGCCGGAATGTCGACGTCCCCCGGCTGGTTCTCCACGCCAAGCCCAGAGGCCTCTACAGTCTGAGACCCAGACTCGGCCAGTGCCAGGCTTGCACCACTGCTCTCTGCATTCCCGACGCCCCGTTCCCTGCCTTCACGGTCCGGAACTTGGTCCCCCTCCACAAAGGCCGAAAGGTTGACTGGGGCCGGCGGGATGTCCACATCATACTCCGGGGCCTCCATGTTCGCGGTCTCCTGGGGCTCGGGCTCCGCCAAGGCCAGAATCCTCCGAAGGGAGGCCTCAGCTCCCAGGACCCAGTCCATGACATAGTTCGGTGCCTCCAACCCTCGAGGCTCGCCAGGCGCACAGATCACCGAGAGGACACGCATGAACTGGAGGGCTCTTAGGTTGGTCGGCGTCATGGCGGGCCCACGAAAACGCGCGCAGAGCAGGCTGAAAGCCCATCCATCAAGAAGAGTTGGGCACGGAGGATCCAGTTGGCCTTGATATCGTTGTGGTCGTATAGGCACTGCTGGACGTCCGGTGATGCCCCTGTGGAGTCTTGCTGCAGAGCTCTGTGTACCCTTCGTTGTTTCTCCGTAGTCCCGTATGAGTTGAGGCCGTAGAGGAAGAGGAGCCAGACGAGGTCCCATTCTCCAGCCCCAGGATCGCCGAGGCAAGGGGCGAAGACGCCCGCAAGCGATTGAACGCCACCCTCCTGGCAGTCTCTGGTTCAGTCTCCTCGGGGTCCCTTTGGAGGCAATGCAGGGCTGTAGCATTGGTTCCGGCTTGCACTTCCAACGCGATCTGCTCGTGGACGTAGTAGGTGTTGAAGAACTCCTCCAGGAAACCTTCTTCGATATAACGGCACCAGTCCATTTGGGGGTCGGGGAGGAGCGGCGGAGTGAAGATGTCGGCCGCAGACCCCAGCATCTGCTCCACGTCCGCGAGGAGGGGCTGGGCGAACGTTGTGTAGTCTTGGTTGCCCCTTGATTGGATGAGCCGCCGCAAGAGACTCATCATTCCGTCTGCGTTGGCTCTCTCCCCAATTAGGCCCTCTGCCATCTCCACTCCCATGGTGTACCAGTACGGCGGGTGCCCTCCGAAGACGTCCGGTGGTTGAGAAGCCGCTAGGCGGCCGCCCGCGGTCATGACGGAGATTTTCACGAAGAAGGCCGGCATCATCACGATGTACCCGGCACCGAGGACATGTATGTGGAGCCAAGCGCCCCACATCCCAAAAGTTGGCTTCCCGCAGGTGGCCAAGTAGATGAAAAAGGAGGTCGCTACCGAAGAGGCACGATCAGGCTCGGGCCCAGCCGGCCGAGGCACGGAAGCTGTAGGTTCCGCTGCGCGTGATGTCCCTGTAAGAAACTGAATAGTGCGGGCCAGCGGCCCAACCCTTGTAGGCAAACATGGAAGTTGATAGTGCAGGCCAACGGCCCAACCCTCGTAGGCAAAGCAACTGATGTACATCCACTTCCCAGCTGAGATGATTCGAAGCCCATCAACCCTTTGTCAGACTGTCCTGCTCAAGACCGCCCTCATTCAAGAAGTCGACCCTTCAGACGTCATCCCCTAAGCTGAGCTGCTGTCCCGAAGTCCATGGCAAGTCTCGCAACCTGACCCATTCCTTCCCCGCTGCTGCCCATTTAACCCTGTCCCTTGCTGTTTCCCTCCAGGGCTCCTGGCACGCTCGGTCCATAGCCCTCTCCAGGTTCATCAATCTCGGGTAGAAGGTACCCGCATGAGTGAGCCCCTGGCGAGACGGAATCTGCTGCTGTGCAGTCCACCACTGCAAGGTTCTGAACCGATCAATATGTGTGGAGACCGGAGGCTGCTGTCCAAACCCTGCCCTTTCCCTATGTCCTGAAAAGCCCCACCATCTCTCCAACCCTTGAGTTGACCAGCGACTGACTTTAGCCCTGCACAGCACCGCCCTGGACGCACGGACCGACCTCTTCCTATACTCCGGCCAGGACTCCATGTCACCTTTCGCGTGCCTGAGGAGCCAGCCCATGAGCATGTTCTGCGTCGCATTGACCAGCCCCAAGGCCTGCCTGTCCGGGGGAATCGCGCCAAGGCACCAAAGTAGAGAGTGCGTGACAACACGATCCATGAGCCTGGTACGACCGCACACAGGCGTGCGTCGGCATAGCAGGTGTCGGATCCCCCAGAATTTACCCCTGGCATTTGTAATAAGTGGCTGTAGGAGTTGGCAGGTCGTCATTCCAACACTCATTTCCAACCCCAGCACCTTGATGAACCCATGGTCGTGCAGCATGGACTGTCCAAGCTTCAAGCTGCGTTCCGCCCCGCTGTAAGGTGAGCAGTATAGTTTACATTTGGAATGGTTCAAACACAAGCCAAACTCCCCCAAGACAGAAGAGAATTCCCGCAGTCGGTCCCCGAGTAGTTTGGTGCTAGCCCCCCAAAGCAAACCGTCGTCCATAAACAAGGAGTCCTCCACCAGCAGGTCCGGGTACAAATGCGGGCGATCCTTCCAGGAGAATCTGGTCGACGCCTCAAGCAAGGCCTGTTCCATTGCAAAGGCAAAGAGAAGGGGCGACTCTGTGGCACCTTGTTTGATACCAGTACACATGGTAAACGAAGATGACCCCCACACAGTCTGCAAGGTAGCCGTCGTGGCACAGAGTAAGTTATGCAGGCACCGATATTCCGGTGTGTCACCCAAAACACCCTTAAGCTTACGAACAAGGGTACGCCGGCAAAGTGTGTCGAAAGCCTTCCTAATGTCGATCTGTGCCATTACCAGGCCAGCCTTCCACTCTCTTTCAAGCTGGAAAAGTCTCCAAATGGTAAAGATGACATCCGACGGCTGTCGGCCACGCCCAGCACATTGAGCGTGGCTCTGGTAGGGCATGAGGTGACGAACCCTGTTGATAATCAGCCGTGCAAACAGTTTGGCAGCTGTGCTACCAAGCGCAATCGGGCGAAGATCCCCGGGAGAAGCAGGCTGGTCCGTTTTAGGGAGAACGATGAGAAGGGGTTGATTCCACGCCTCTGGGATGCGTTGCGTGCAGAGCACACGGTTCATGTATTCCAGAAGGTGCACCTGGCCCCCCTCAATAGTAACCAGCCCCATAAGGAGCTCCTTAGAGGTAAGGTCCCGCCCCACCGATTTGCCAACCTTGAGCTGCCCGAGAGCCTGCTGAAGTTCATGAAGGGAAAAGGCCTCAGCCTGCTGCATGGGTTTGTACACCGGGACCATGTCCTCACCCTCATAGATAGCACTAAGGTGTTTGTGCACTGTGGTGTGGGGGTCCTGAGTCTGACGGTCCGCATAGTCAATCTCCCAACCCTGCTTTGCCCTTGTCTTGCACTCCCGAAAGGCTCTCCAATCCCCTTGGAGAGCCCGATTCTCCCTCCGCCTCTCCCAGGCCTCGCGCGCCGTTCGCCTAGCAGAAAGAGCCGCCTTCCAGGCTTCCCTGGTTCCAGATACCTTGGCGTTCCGGAAGAGAGACTTGACGCCCGCGGGGTCCTTATAAGCTTCGCTCTGCCTAGGTCGAGTACACGAGGATGCCAGCTGTTCCAGTACCCCTTGGTCGATGTGGTGGATCGTGTCCGGGCCCTTGCACCATACCCTGGGTTTGGTGTCAAATCTGCAAACCGGTTTGCCCTCTTGTACTCGAAAACGCCCCTTGACAATCTCGTGGTCGGTCCCCAAAACAACGTAGGAGTCCCTGAACATAGTAACACCCTCATGCCTGAGCCGGCGCGCCGAGAAGTGGTCTATCTGCCTCCCTTGTCTGCCTTCTTGTCGAGGCCTCGAGGTAGGCAGTCTGATGTATGGGGCAAGGGGGGCCACAGGAACAGCCTCCAAACGTCCTAGTCGATCCAGCAGAACCAGAGCCTTAGCGTCCTTGCCCACAGCTGACGGGCCTCTCTCACCCTCTGTCCAGCCTAACCCCGCATTGGCATCCCCCTGAAGTACCATTCTGGCTGGCTGTTTTGGGGCACCGGCAAGAAAAGCATCCACTTCCGAGGCAAAAGCGTCAACTGTACATCCCGGAGTAAAATGGTACGAAGACACCCACAGCTCTGTAGCATCCTTAAGGCGCCGAAGTTTAAACCAGGTGCCCCTCCCCGACGGTTTCCGCTTGATGACAGCCCACTCATCTGTGCAGCAGAGAAGCCCCGTACCACGCCACTGCCCTGGGGGCTGGTAAGAGAGGACCGTCCAAGCGTCCTGGCACCATTTGCTCCAGCCATCCTTGCCACGAGGAACCTCTTGCAGCATCATGATATCCCCTTTCGAAAACGAAGAACCTGTCCCATGCCGGAAAGCCTCCATGAGATTACCCAGTTCGGCCCCTCCGATGTTCCAACCAAAAACCGAGACACTACTCCCAAGGCGTCTCCCTTGAGAGCACGCATCCGAGCCTTCCACCTTAGTGTTGGCAGCAGGCCCATGAGTAAGTGTAGTCATGTTCTGGTTCCCAAGAATGCCAGTAGACCCACTTGTTCGTTGCGAAGAAAACCTTCGTGAAATGAATTGCTCGGCAGCCGAGGCAGTAGACCCATTTCGCCCCGCCATCGGCCGCTGAGTGCCGCATGCATCCCTGACAGTCAATCGTCTGACATCCCTAAGACACTCCTGACGCACATCACCCAGACGATCGACCGCCTCCCGAAGTCACTTGCGGTTTGCCTCAAGCACACTGCGAAGTTTCTCAACACCCTGCTTGGACTCCTTGGAGAGAGCACCGAGGTCAATCCATGGCTTGCACGTCTCGGCCACCGAGTTGATCATCATCTCGTACGACTTCGCCCCATCCCCCGGCTGCCGAGTAACGCTTGCGACCAGACTCTCGCCCATCCAGACTGATCCCGAGGAGTACTCCACATCCACCATGGAAGCCAGTTCATCCGAGATCGACCCCAAGGACCTTTTGATCCAAGCACAATGTGCCCCAGTCTCCCTTTCCTGCTTGGTTTTCGAGAACGAGCACCACAGACGCCTCCCCGAAGAAGTCATGGCCTCCGCCTCGTTGACTGTCGCCAGGATCCGATGCATCCTCGCCTTGCGAACCGATTCCTGCTCATGGATACGGGGAGGAATGTTAAGGAGAGCGATGCTGCGTCTCGGTCCCGTCGTAAAGGCCGCCTCATCGATCTGCGTAGTGAGCCCCAGCCGGGTCGTGGCTTCAGTGAGATCCCTGAGAATGACCGAGCGTCTGGTGTCCTGTGCCCATCCCCCAAACACCAGGGTCTGCCTACGGCGTTCGTCCCCAATCGGCCCAGCTCCGGAGCGCATCATCTGCTCCAGACGCCCAATGCGCTCCTGGAGGCCATCCACTGCCGTGGTAAGCTTGCCCGCTGTAGTCTCGACCCCATCGATGCGTGCTTCATGTCTGCTCTCCAGGGCCTTGACCAGACCTTCCGTATGCTCCCTATTGGCCAGCAGAATCTTCTCAGACTGCTCGTCCAAGAGGCGACGAAGGTCCGACAGCGTGACACTCGCCAAGCTGTTATCCATAGAGGTCAACCCCTTCTGCCCCGCGATCTCCGCCTGCGCCTTTTTGGCTTTGTTGGGCCCGTCGCCCCTAACCCTCTCAGGCTGCCGCTTACGGGGACTGTCCGCCAGGTCCGCATCCTCATGGTCCGGCACATGTGGCACGCCCGAGAGCCCCAGCTGCATGACGGAACACCCCCACGCACGCCTAAGGCACACCTGCACAGCTCACCCTCGGGCCTTGAGCCAAAATGGCTAGGGTTTAGGGTTTAGGGTTTAGGGTTTAGGGTTTAGGGTTTAGGGTTTAGGGTTTAGGCTTTGTGCTCATCTAAACTACGATGGGCTGGCAATCCACTCCTCGTCTTTCTGGGCCATCGGAATGACTGTGAACTTCAATCCGCAGTCCATTACTCAAGCAGATTCCCAACAGGCAAGTCTGACAAGAGTAGGCCCTAAACATAGGCCCCATAGTAGTTCCTTTTTGGGATTACCTTATAGGATTCTTAGCATGAACCCCCAAAAGGAACTGCTTTAGGGCCTATGGGTAAACCCTGTAAGCCCTAAACCCTAAACCCTAGGTCTCTTTCAAGTCTCACCCATCCCGCTCGCTGCGCTCCACCCGCTGACCAGTGATGCGTTGGGGATCCGCACACCCTGCAAACTGTTGATCTAGATCTCTCTCTCTCTCTCTCTCTCAATATATATATATATATATACACATATATATATATATACGCATGTGTGTATGTGTATGTATATATATATATAAATACAGTGCAGCGTACTGTCAGAGACCTTTTAAGCAGAACCCCAGCCCGGAAGTTCGAGCCAAAAAGTTTACACCTAAATCCCCCTTACTCTTGAACCCTACGCCCCCCCGAAACTCCAAACCCCCAAAAACTCCTAAAGCCCAAAATCCTAACCTCAGATGCCCAAACCCCCAAACCCCGAGGTCCCTAAGTTATAGAACCGTCATCCTAACCCTACTTCAAGGCAAAAGTAATAACCTTTGTCGTAAGTGTATGTATGCTAACTCTTGGAGTAACCCTTGTCACTTGTAGTAACCCTGGTTGAAGGGACCCTACGCCCTAAACCCTGGTTAAAAAAGACCTCAACCCTAAACCCTAAACCATAAATCCTAATCCCTACACCCTGGTAAAAAAAAAGACCTCTTCCACAAGTTTTTCAGCCCCGACAGCTCTGAGGCTCTGGCGACAGCCTTTGGGGCTGGGCCGCCTGCTGCGTTTCTTCGGCTTGTGAGCTGTTCCCGTTGAATCTGGGTTAGAGTTTAGGGGGGTATCAGGGTTCAGGCCAAACTTTACGATCTGTTGATATGAAGGCTTTACCAGCTATGGGTTGGTACTGTGGTACCGACTTTTTGCTACCAGCCTTTGGGATAAAAAAAAACGTTATAAGGGCTTCATATGAGGGTCTGATATCGGAGCCATAAGGTTTTCTGGAACTTTTGGGATGACCATAATAATGTAGGGCCTGAATAATTAGAATGAGGTTTGGGGGGGTAGTATACTAGAGTTATGATAAGGAACCGCCCAAACCCTATTCTAATTATTAAGCCCACTACATTAGCGGGATATGGCGCTTACTACTCGACAGTCTGACTTCTGGATTTCTGGTGAGTTTAGGGTCGAGGGCTTTGAGGTTTAAGGGTTTAGGCGTGTGAGCACTCATGTAGTAGCCATAAAACCCTAAACCCTTAAGGTAAAGTATAATGGGACCTAGCAAAGAGAAGTCTGTCAGGGAGCTGCCTCTAAACAGGGTTTAGGGATTAGGGGTTGCTACAGGTGCGCTCTTCTTCTAAATGATGGTGTGCAATAAAGGCCCCTAAGAACCCTAAGTCGTTCAATCTCAACAGCTCTCAACCCTCCCCTAAACCCTAAACCCTACAACCCTAAACAAAATCCTCTGCTTTCCTACCAAAGCCATCCTCGCCTGCATCGGCGGGGGCACTCGTTTCCTGTCATTTATCGAATTCGAACGTGGGTGTTGCATGTAATGTAGGGGCCTTAACAATTAGAATAGGGTTTGGGGTTCCATTGTACTATAATTATAATGAGGAGGCCCCAAAATAGTATTGGTACTTATTTAAGCCCCTATATTAGCCCTAAACCCTAAACCCTGAACCGGCCTATATTCGTATATTGTTCTGGGATCGAACATTGCCAGGTGTGGGAATCCCTTACTTGCAGAAGCGTGTTCCCATCGGGTTCTATCTGGGCTTCTGCGCTTTTTCAGGCTTCTGCGCTTTTTTGAGGGCTTCCCTGCAGCGCTCACTAGCGGTCCCAAGCACACCTTCAAGAACTCATGTAGAGGCCTTAATCTTTATAATAAGGAACCCTAACAGAAATATTGGTAATCACAAAACACTTCTATATCAGATGCATGCAACGCCCTAAACCCTAAACCCTAAACCCTAAACCATCAAACCTTTAGTTTGCAATGCCTAACCTATCCCAACCACCAGAATCTCTTGGCCGCACCTTGGCAAAGGCTGTAAGCCCTTCACTTCGCAGTAGGTGGGTAGTTCTCTAACTTATGGTCCCTCTTTAGGGTCCTCTTTTTTTTATCAGGGTGCCGTACTGTTTTGGGGACCCAAAAAGGGGACCCTAATTTAGAGAACTACCCCGGTGAGGATCCCGGAAGTCCTCGAACCGTGTACCCAGCCCGGTGAGCCGCAAGAGGGAGGAACTTAGGGTTTAGGGTTTAGGGTTTAGGGTCTAGGGTTTAGGGTTTAGGGTTTAGGGTTTAGGGTTTAGGGTTTAGGGTGCCCGAAACTCGAACCTAAAGGCCCTAAACTAAACCCCTCAACCCCTAAACCCAAAGCCCTAAGCCCCTAAACCCCTAAACCCCTAAATCCCTAAACCCTCAGCCCTAAACCTCTAAACCCAAAGCCCTAAAACCAACAGCGACCCACCTACTTGGAGGATCATGGGACTTAGTTAGTAGGGTTATAAGTCCCTTAATTGGGGTTATAAGTATAGTTACCCTAATTATAACGCTACTTACTAAGTCCCACGATCCTTTAAGTACCTGTGTTTCCGCCTAAACCCTAAACCCTAAACCCCCCGAGCTTCCGACCGAAACCTCCGCCGTGGAAATCTCAGGTCCTGACCTCCTCCTTCGTTGCCGCCGGCGCTGTAGGCACTGCCTTTGGGGACTTGGGGCCAGTTTGGGTTTAGGGGTTTAGGGGTTTAGGGGTTTAGGGGTTTAGGGTTTAGGGTTTAGGGTTTAGGGTTTAGGGTTTAGGGTTTAGTTTGAATGCCTTTTTGGGACTTGGGACCATTTTGAATCGTTTAGGGTTCCAGGTTTAGGGCTTAGGGAAGTTTGAAGCACTTCGCCCGGTTTCATGGCATTGCAGCAGGGTTTTATAAGTCCCGGGCTGCATCAAATCTGTATCCGACCCAGCACTATGCACCACTCCCATGATGTCTCATATTGTGGTCCTCATTCGAACAAACAGAATAGGATGGTCGGTAGGGTTTAGGGTCTAAGTTTGGGGTATGACTTGTTGAACCATTCCACATCTCCCAAACACTCCGTGAGCCCGGAACCAGGACGACTTGCGGATCGAGATCCGGCTGCAGATCCACTTGAAACCCTCATTATATATACCTCCATAATCAAACTGCCATACGCTACAAAACCTATACCAGTTACCACCCTCACACAGTGAACCCCTTGCCAGAGATGCAAGCATAAACCCTGACAACATGCAAGCACCGGTCAGGGTCATGTTTGTAGGCCTTGAAAACCCTAAACCCTAAACCTTGAGGGGTTTAAAGTTTAGGGTTCAGGGTTTAGGGATCCTGAACCCTAAACCCTAAACCCTAAACTTGAAAAACCGACACTCCACTCCGAAAGCCTGCTAAGCAGGCAACCTGGCCTCGGCTTCGGCTGCAGGCGCCTCTTCCTGAAGTGGGCTGGCTTTAGTTCAAGCTTGCTGGTTCTTGATGGCGTGATAGAAGTGTATATAGCTTTTCCTTCTGAACAGGTCTAAGGGTTTATGGCGTTGATGCCTTTTCTGAGCCGATGGAAAATGTCGCAGGAGCGAAGCCGTGGTGCAGCTGCTGCTTTTGCAAGATCAAACGGCAGACAGGGCTATTGTCAAAATCAAGGGCTCCGGCTTGTCATCTGCAAGATTCAAGGAACCCTTTAGCGGGGAACCCTTAAAGGGGAACCCTTAGAGGGGAACCCTTAGAGGGGAACCCTTAGAGGGGAACCCTTAAAGAGCCCATTAAAACCCCAAGACCTGTCCGTCGATCTCGGGACCTCGGTATCGAAGAACCCACAGGCTCCCTAAGTTGTACCCTGCGCTTTTAGGGTTTAGGTTTTGGGGGTTTAGGGTTTAGGGTTCCGGTTTTTGAGGTTTAGGGTTTAGGGTTTTTATCCTTGTCACCCGGATCTGCCAAATCCAGCAGAGCACGGCAACAGGGGAGATTTTATCCTCTGCTACTATTTAGATCACTATACTATTTACTGATCACTCAGACCGTGGCCTTCGAACGACAAGAAGCCCACCCCGGAGCTCTGAACCCTGAGCCCCAAAAACCATCCAATTTAGGGTGCCTTACTGAACTAGACTAGAGTGGTGAGATATATGGCGACCATGAGGGAATAGAACGACACCCATAGTATACCGCCACCTAAACTCCACAATGCCACGTCCCACCCGCTACCCCGGCAATCCCGTGGCACCGCGGCTTCTGCGGGCGGCTCCGTCGCAGCCGGAGCCTGGACAGAGTCCCCGAGAACCCTAAACCCTAAACCCTATACGCCTAAACCCGAAACCCTAAACCACTAAACCCTAAACCCCAAACCCCTAAACCCTAAACCCCAAACCCTAAACCCCTTGGGAGTCTTGCGATTTTGCAGATCCCGAGGCTCGGGGTCTTGGGGCATTTAGGCTGTTTTTTTTTATGAAACTCTTTTAGGGCTTAGAGTTTAGGGTTTA